AGTTCAAGTTTCGCTAGTAATAATAAAAGGTTTAAAAAATGCTGGATGTTTGACAGCGTAATAGGCAATGTTTTTCGGTATTGGCTTCTCCTGTATCCTTTGTTGGCTTATATTTTCTTCTTTTAACGGGTACTAGACAGTGATTTACTGAATAATGCAAAGGTCACGATAGACGGGAGTGCATTGGCTACTTATAGTTCACAAGTGATTCTGTTGCACGACTATGGGCGGAACGCGCTGAACTGCTCATTGTCAACCCGCTGCAACTATCAATTCTAACGCGTACGAGGTAGGACTTCCTTCGCATGATTAGCGGTGAAGCTGATTGGCCACGCGACTGGGTCGTTCGAGTCGTGAAGTATGACCGCTGTCTTGAAGAAGCTACACTGCTATCCGCTGAACTTGAAAGTTCTAATTCAGGTGCTGGTCCTATTCCCACCCAAAGGGCTGTGAGTCGGATGCTGGGTGCATCTGGGACGACTTCACATTCCGCCACACCTAATGCCTCTCTTTTCCTGTGAAAATGATGGTATGGCTAATTCTTTAGAGGGTAGAATGCATCGGCCCACAGAATTGTAGGAGAAGCAAACCTTTCACGAATATGCGGTTGCCCGCAGACTCCCACTGACTGTTTATTTTTCAGTGGTGGATATTCTTGCTGACGTCTTACGTAACAGCAAATTGGATTCATCTGCAATAGAAGCGGAGCGCGAAGTACTGCTTCGTGAACTGGAGGAGAAAGAAGATGATTTACAGGGAGTAACCATGGACAATCTTCATGTTGCTGCCTTCCAGGTAACAAATGGCCCCATGTGATCTATAGGTTAAAGCCAACACAGAATTTCATTTTTGGTTGTTATAGGGTACATCCATGTCGAAGAGCCCCCTTGGTACTACCGCATCTCTCAAGGTACGTTTTCGCATAGGAGGAAAGTATTACAGTTCGGCTTGAAGAAGAAAGGGCATTTTGCACTTTCCTACTTCCCATAGACCTGTTCAGCTTTACAAGGGTTGACAGGTAGACTTCACAAGTGTGGACAAATCTACTTGTAGCTCTATACGTCGAAGGGAAATAGCGAAATTGTGAGATTTATCCCCCCCCCCATTACCTATTCTATCGAAAAATTGCACCATATTTTCGATAAAATATTGCATAGTTCGTTCAGAATATCATATTCAGGCTATCACTGGGCAACATCTGAAAGAGTGGCAGGAAGATAACTATCGTCCTATTAGAATGGTGCTCTCAGGTGTTGGTGGTGGCTGCTCTGGCTCGAAGTTGCTCGGTCTTGCCGAGAAATATTTCGGTGATCTTAGCAATGAATACCCAAGGAAGGTCCCTGAGGTACTGCGTTGTTGTTTTTCCGCTTATTTTTTTAAGAAATCATTTGTGTGCATTTCAGGCTGGTGGTATCCGTTTTACTGGATCAGAATACAGATATCGTAACGACTACATCCCACATATGTATTCTGCTGTAGCTGTTGAGGTAAGATGTGGTTACTATTTTGCTGACGGGTTGTGCGTTCTATCTGGCGTGGCTAATCCTGCATGTACTAATCCCTGCACACGTTAGGATGTGCGACGCGGCGCATATTGAAGCACACACAGGGCGCCCTTTTTCACTAGTGATGTTCCTGAGCTCGTTGAAACGGGTGAGAGATCTGGTCAGGGTGCGCTTCAAGCCAGTCCCCG